CTCAATTGATCCAATACCCAATAATATTGTGAAAATCCAATAGATTGTGTGACCAATATTATTGGTTCCAATAGATTGGGTGACCGATATTATTGGTTCCAATAGATTGTGTGACCAATATTATTGGGACCCAATATATTGTATTGGTGCATGCCTAATTCTGATCTTTTCTTTAAAGAAATGTTTCATCAACAAAGAAAATAATCGGTACTCTTTCTCGACTAGAACGCAGAAGATAAATTACGATTAATGAACCTCATCAAAGAAAAACTTTTAATCATCTCTTTCTATATCTTTTAAATGAGCACTCTCTCTTTTTATTATTTATCTTCAGAAGAATGTAATAATTTCTTTCCTCATTAGTGATCTTTTTCTCGATGAATCGAGAGAATCAGTTGTGACAAATATTGTAAGCCTAGCTATGCGTAATATTTAAGTATTTTCTCATTGATAAACATTTTTTATGCTCTTACTACTTACTGTTAATAAAACCTTTATTTTTTAATACACACTCAAAATTCTCATAGCGATGTCTAGCAACCGTTTAAGACGGAAATAATAATGGTAAATGATTTTGATGAATAAACATTAATTCATTCGCTTTTTCTTTTTCAGGTTCTCCTCAATCGGGTAATATACTTTTTCTTCTGTGCTGAAACTGACCTCATGGAATTTCTGTAATGGTTGGTTTCGTGATACTCTCGGAAGGTTCATATTACGATCGTTTGGGACTCTAAAGGCTTGTGGTGGGATGGTATTGTTGGCCTCAGAAATCTTTAATGGATTTTCGGGGTAAGCGTGGTATGCACTATTATGGCGGCTATACTTTATGATTTCTGGGCCTTCGGAAACCCCAACAGGGTTTCAGATAGTAATAAATTAGAAGAACCGCTAAGGGTTTCCCACGGTACCTTTTTTCAAAGAGTGTACCCATGAATATTTTTTGAATTTGACAAAACCCATGATTGGATAATATATATCAATTCAATTATATATATAAATCTCATTTCTCACAGGCTTTCATTCGGTATACAATTCATCTTTGTACTATATGTACGTTCAACCTCTACTTCTCTGGAAAAATATTTTTACGCATGCTCTAGATAAGATTCATATTTGATCTTGGACAGTCAACCGATTTTTTTTATATAAAACAAACTGTCATGAGACATGCTTCAAAACAACAAAAAATAGTACGATCTCTGCTTCTGTTAAAGAGTAATAAATGATTTTAAAAAAGGAGCTACTTTTTAGACACATTTTGTATTTTAGATTTAATGCGTTCAAAAGAGTTTCTACAGATATGTCAGCCATCGTAATCTTTTATACAGAGAAATTCTGCAGCGTGCATCCAATTGCAATATTTTTCATATATGTTAGATTAAATGTATTTTATTTCAACTACTATCTCCATCTTATTTCCAGAATTCGTCACAGTAGTGAGTCACATTTTTTTCGTTCGCTTGCATTGCAAAGTAGTGTGGACTCATATCACAAGATTGTGTAATAACTACCTACAAGGTTTTTTCCCTCACTTGACATCATATCACAAACAATATATTATTTTTCAAGTATAATTCAACACGGCCTTGGTATTTAAGTAATCACAACAGATTAACATCAAAGTATCATGTCGGTAAATCTGAGTTATGAAGATGAACAACGTCGTTTACAAGAGGAAAATTTTCGTGGGTTTCGCGACCTCGAATTGAGTAAATTAAGTGAAGAAGAAGAAATCATCGCTCACCGAGAACTTGAAAAATTTGATGAAGTGGAACGAGAAATTCAGGCACTCAATGGCGAAGATAAACGAAATGTAGAAGCATACGAATGGGAAATAAACGATACCAATAAGGAAATTTCGACAATCGACAAAGAGCTCACTGATATTGAAAAACAAATTAGCCAACTTCTTATAGAACAAAAAACACAAGCGAATGACCTTAAACAACAAACTGATGCTCTTGCAAAACTTACATCACAAATAGAACGTCTTCAAAAAGAACTTCAACTCCTACGACAACAGCAACACGATTTAAACATTGAGCATGATAAATTGCAATCATATCACAAACAATATATTATTTTTCAAGTATAATTCAACACGGCCTTGGTATTTAAGTAATCACAACAGATTAACATCAAAGTATCATGTCGGTAAATCTGAGTTATGAAGATGAACAACGTCGTTTACAAGAAAAAGATTTACGTCTGTTTCGCGACTTCGAATTGAGCAAATTAAGTGAAAAAGGCGAAATCATCGCTTGTCGATAGAACTGGAAAAATATGATGAAGTGGAACGAGAAATCCAGACCAAGGTTCTGAATAGCAAGTGTAACAAGCAGAATCAAAATGTGTGAAACCCTTGCGACATTTAAAATATACGCTATTTTACATGTTGTCGTCAAAAGCAGTGTGTACACATTACACTTTGATAACAAAATTAACGCTTTGTTTTTTTTTTATCGACAAATCGGTTTCTATTCTATTTAAATCGATATTGGTACTAGTGACTCATAAAATTTTGTTCAGCACGGTGTCTTTTGATCAATTTTATCATCGACCTGCAATGATCCTTTTCTTTTCTCTACATCTACGAAGACAAACAATCTTTCTTGTATTATATTTTAAGGATAAATTACATGCATATGAATGAATTACTGTTAAATCTACTTTTTTGTAGTTATATCAATAGTGATATCTTTTGTTTTCTTTATTTCAGATGAGTGAAAGTCAAATCAAATTTAATGAATTGTGGAATAAAAATAAAATTTCAATATCAGTGTGTAGTTCATGATCATCATCTTTATGTTTCTACTCATGTCACCTTAAAAAATAATTATGCGTATATTTGTTGTTTATTTAGTATTATACGTTTATTTCACATTTTTGGTAAGGTAAAAATATGAACACTCATTTCTTTTTCTAGATTATATAACTAAATTCAATCGGTACACTTTGATACACTATGCTTTCGAAAACTCAGTGTACATGTACATTTTACTTGGTTAAACAAAGTGTACAAAAATATTTTACTCTTGAATTCCATTCGGAATCTTGGTTGTGAGTGTATTCGACCTCGATACCATCGGCTGGAATATGATAACTCATACATATTTTGTCTATTTCAGATAACCATCTATTTCTATTAAATTAAATGGCAACAAATAAACCATCAGTATTTAATTTTCTTAATGTCACCGAATCGATGAATACAATCAATCGTGAACGTCTTGAAGAAATTCGGTCTGCTTATGCTAACATGAATGACACTGAACCGATAGAAAACACGACTAACAATGAAGACGCTAAAATAAAATTACTTGCTGATAAGTTTTCTCTGATGAACGATGCAGAAAATCTGGTTCATTTGAACAAATGCATTAGTGAACAGTTCTTAGACGTTGCATGCCACGCCATCCTTGGTGAATATCTTCGAATACGTACTATTGAACAGCGAAAAGCTAGGAGAAATCAATCATCGCCGGCTTCTTCAACAATACCGAAAATAACAACAGAACCAATTGCACAAGCTTCTGAAGCATCGATGGTTACTAAAGTTTTACCACAAGTATTTTGTCAAATTTTGCTGAAAAAAAATCGAGCATCTATGCTCGAATTCTGTCAAGATTTTCTATTATGTCCACTTGCAAAGGCAGCATCAACACGGCGGTAAGTGTTGTTGATTACAATTGAATCTCCAGTCTCATGCGGTCAGAAAGAAACGAACTGAACATTCTGAAATCTGATATCTCATACTTTTGCTAGCTCAAATCCAATGTTTTATCAAAGATATATATCTGTCGGGAGGAGGAAAACAACTTCGGTAATGCTCATACAGATTCCACCTTAAAGAATCGTGGGTTCTACAGAGACAAGTCTAACGAGGGAAGGTTCCCCGCTGTCCAATCGCTCTCGAGCGGAAACTTAATGAACAATAGGTAATCGAGGGAGCTGAATCTGAATATCACAACCGTTTGGACCCACGTTGGCTTTTTGAACCGGTTTTCCGAAAAACCAGTTTTTCAAAAACTCTAGAAAATAACCAAAGGCTTTCTTTAATGGAATGTGATTGTAGCCCAGAAATTTCTGATTAAAATGAGACCTCTCCCAACTCTACATGACCTTTCTTTGCATAGTTATAGAGTTTATAAGAAAAGCCCTAAATTAATCTCTTCTTATTTCTGTAA